TATAGCAAAGAAAAGGACCAGGGAACTACAAGTTACGCTATAATGTCCACGAACAATTTCACTGTATTTGAAATAATTTTGTTTGATACCCTGAGAACTCTGAAACTTTGCAGCACTGTGGATTATATGTGGATACAACATTTATGGAAGGAAAGTGGAATAATTTCTAACACATTGTTTTAATAATTATAGCACTGAATTGTTGAGATTTAATATGAGCACATTCCAATCAGCACTCTACATATTTATAAGCGGTGGCAATCGTTAGGAATAGGTCGGGAGTTGTCAGAGTGCTCTAGTATTATGAGAGAATGTTTTGTTTGTCTAATCGACGGCTCGTTTGAAGCCAGAGTTGTTTGAACTTAGTTCAGTCGACTTGATTCTAGACAGTAGTCGAAGGAGTACTATGAAGTATACACCAGACGTAGTCCGTAAGGTATCTCGTGAGAATTCTGTCGGTACACATCAGGTATCAGCTTGCAAAGATGGCTCCTATCTGTTTCTTGAAAGCCTGTCTAGTTGGACTGTGGCTCCAGCGATTCCCTTCTCAGAGCAGATACCATACCCAATACGGTCAATGCATATTGGACAGACCTGTGTGCACAACAGAAATAGTGGACAGAAATCTCTCAGCTCATGAACACATCAGTGAAGTTTGAACTGCCGTTGTTTTTGGCCGTCAGTATAAACCTATCGACTATAAGAATAATGCTCATAAAAAGGACACACTTCAGGCTCATTACAAACATCTTGAAAGTTTTTGTCTTCACAAGTATACTTTCAAGCCTTCTCATCAGGTGAAATACAGGCAAGGGAAAAGGAACAGGAACAGTGGATTAAATACAGTAAGAAGGTGGTAAAACAGCGCAAAAAGAAAGAAAGAAAGAAGGTAGCTAAAGTAAACAGCGAAAATTGCAATAATGACACAAAGGTGCAAATGCGAGAAAACTCAATAAGCGCGACATGTAGTGCGACAACAAGAGACAACCACTGGACATACATGTAACTAACGAGGTTTTGACGACCTACCTAACAGCCTAAGTGTGAATTTGATTTGTTTCTGCTTGCAAAGGTTGGGTTTCCTTGTGTGGATGTATACAGCTTTCAAAACATTCAGCAATCTAGCACTGCGTACACGTGAGTCCAATTACCATAATGTTCATAATCGCTTCATCTACTCGACGGTGCGTGCGTTCACGGTGAGGAAGGACGTCCTACCTACAGGCCAATTATCCAAGTTGATTTATCACTTCGAGTGTCGGCAATGTGAGAGCCGATATGTAGGTAGGACTCTTCAACATCTGGGCGCACGCATCCGACAACACGCACCGCTACACCTTATTCCACAACACGCACGATCCACTCGACCACGGAGGGGACGTCCAGCAAAGAATCATCCTGGTACAAGATGGTCCAACGCAGCGGCATCAACACCAAGCAACGTCACCTCACAATTAACTAGACCACCAGAAAAACAACCGGACAAGACACCTACTGGCGTGGCAGTGACAGGAACCGCATCAACCAGAAGAATGACAAGATCGGCAACGGCGGCGATGGCAGCGACTAAAGTACAGACAGAGGCAACGGCTAGGGTCCACTCGACTAGCCATGTGAAATCGGATGTGTCCACCGCACATGCTGATTGTTCTGATGTTAGTTCTGATAAGTATGAGTCGTCCATTGCTAGTCATTTGTTTGAGCATCCTGATTGTCGTGCTGTGTATTCGGATGATTGTTTTTCGATTGTGTCACGTGTACGCAGTGCTAGATTGCTGAATGTTTTGGAAGCTGTATACATCCACACAAGGAAACCCAACCTTTGCAAGCAGAAACAAATCAAATTCACACTTAGGCTGTTAGGTAGGTCGTCAAAACCTCGTTAGTTACATGTATGTCCAGTGGTTGTCTCTTGTTGTCGCACTACATGTCGCGCTTATTGAGTTTTCTCGCATTTGCACCTTTGTGTCATTATTGCAATTTTCGCTGTTTACTTTAGCTACCTTCTTTCTTTCTTTCTTTTTGCGCTGTTTTACCACCTTCTTACTGTATTTAATCCACTGTTCCTGTTCCTTTTCCCTAGCCTGTATTTCACCTGATGAGAAGGCTTGAAAGTATACTTGTGAAGACAAAAACTTTCAAGATGTTTGTAATGAGCCTGAAGTGTGTCCTTTTTATGAGTATTATCGCATTTTAGTCTCAGAGGAAACTGTTTAACTATAAGAATAATGTGCAAAAAAACTCTATAACTACAGCTGGGGCCATGGAATTATAAAGCATCTAACTTAGGGAACTGCCAATTCTGGTCTGAGTTGCGTTCGAGGCCTCCAATTCATGATGGCTATCGTATGTTGCATTGACCACAGATAATATAAAACTTCCAAATGCCACATTGAAACACGCACCACTTTCGAGTACTTTGGTATCGCCCACCAAATGGGCATTCGTTCCCGGGGTGACAGGCGTCACCATTCGTTATGCACGATCAGATTTCATTGACCCCAACTGTCAGGAAGAATCATTTTTACTTTGACTGGATTTCAGTACAAGTTGTAGAACTGCAGAATCAATATTGTTGTATTTTGGGTAACCATTTGTCTACAAACGCTCTATTTGGAAAATAGAATTTTTGTATAAAATGCATATCCAAATTCCACATCTAGGGTAGTACCCTCATCGGAATACTTGATCACGTGTTCAGTACTACACGGAATGTTTAGAAAACGCCAGGGAATAGGAATTTGTTAACGAGAACTCCAGGCCAGGGTACTAGCATACGAACAAAACAAGATAAAAACTCACCAGTATACTTGTAATTGTAGTAATTCATGTCGGTGTAATATTCACGATAAGCGCCGACGCACCCTCCGATTTGGTCAAGCGGCTTTGAAGTCTGGTTGTTCAGGTGGTACAAACGGGCTCCCCGTTGTTACTTCCAGCAGCTTCACTCTCCCTGCGACAGCGGCTGTCATCCTCTCTCTCCATTGTCGACAATTATCACAGATTCAATATTCTACATTAAAGGGGAACTCCGGTCCAAAATCACCCCCATTTTTTATTGCGGAATCCATTAGAGTATGTCGTAAGTGGTAGAATGGCGAAAACCGGGAGCTTCTACGACAAGGATAACATACCTAAATTACCAATTGCAATTTTCCATATTTGGCACGAGGGGGCCCCCTCCCACCCTGTGACGTAAAACGTTCTCAGCCCGGTCCACTCAGATGAAATTTTCAAATAATTGAAGCAAGAATGAAAAGTCCTTGGCGATTGTTGAAGTGCTTGTTGTTCTGTGCCATGCCCGATTTATTGTCACGACTCGCTGCTGCGTCTCTGGATGCAACAATGTCACGAAGAAAGAGGCGCCTGCGGGCTGTCGTAGCATGGCTTTCCTCTGGCTGACGCGAACCTGACGACAGCTTGGCTATGGAGAGTATGTTGGAAGGATTTTTCTCCGACGAAAAGTAATCGTGTCTGCACTGAGCATTTCACTGAGATGTGCTATGAAAGAGATTTCCAACAAGAGTTTGCACAAAGCATTGGTGGCTATAAGCAGAAGCAGCAGCGACGCTTGAAGCCAGGGTCTCTGCCATCCTGAAACTTGGCGGTGCATGTCATACTAATAGTTAGTAGCTCCTCTACCTCTGCTGCCAGCAAAAGCAGACCATCTTCGATTTACTTCCAGGAACGTGAGCACGATGAGGTAAGTGAACGGCATGATTTTGTGCCGTCCAGAACGTAGCTCTAAACGACTACAGTCCTACTCAAAGTCCTCTACTCAAAATCCTAGTCAGTGAAGTCGAGAATTGATGTAATGTACATGGAACGTTATCATGTGTGTTATTTCAGTTCTCTTTATCTGTAAGTTTCCATTGCGTTACTTTCCGGTTGCAGCTACACTGCCACAAATACAAGGTACAGTATGATTTGTAGTCTGGAAATTTTCCATGCTGTCATACTGAAGTGGGCACCAAAACGTGTCCACTTTTCGTACAATGGCATGAGAGCACGGGTACAGTCGGCATGTCCAATCGACTCAGCGTTCAAAAGACTACAACATATGGGCCAATCGCGTTCATCCGTCCTTTTATAAGAACGAAATGGCGCTTTTAGTGACATTTTGCATACAAATCCCCATCTAGTAGGGCGCAGTCACCCAGTTTCCGTGGAAGTGCGCGAGTTCGATAGGGATTCAAGTAGGAAGGGAGCGTCTCAGCTTTCTCGGACCAAGACCATTCGACTCAGCACCCCGAAGACTACAACTGGTGAAATTTAAATTTTTACCTTAACTTCCCCTTTAACATATTATCGGTGTGAATATGTTACATGAAGGTGAATTTGCCTAGTAAAACACAGGACATACATGTACGTACAAATATGCGTACTAAAGAAGAAAAAAGGAGGACACTCTCCCCCCTCCTCTACACACACACACACACACATGCACATAAACACACCATTACACGTGTTTAGCATGACACATTGCCGTATATTCAGTTGTTATGGCTTATTTTGTCGAGTGTTTAGTTCTTGTGCAGAAAAGTGTACTATAAGGGTATAGCACACGAGTGGTTGCAGCATAATACATGTTCGTCTCGCACTTGGCAGAGAATTCCGAACGAGGTTCAGATGGCAAGACATGACACAGGAAGTATACGGCGTACGTATCTAGACAAGAAAAGAAAATACTAGTAATCAAGATGTGCGATGGATACAGTATGTGAACAAGCTATGCAACATTGCTTGAAATTCATACATGAGTACACGATAGTATTCTATGTCACTGACCATCATCCAGCGATGGTTGGTGGACAGGGACATGTACAATGTCATGCTTGAAAATTGGTACGGTATCTAAGCATTGCCGTCTTTTCTGTGTCCAGCATTTCCGCGTCCTTCACTTTGGTGTACGGCCTCTCAGTCCCGCTCCCGCTGTTGGCCATCAGAATCAGAATCAGTATCCCAGAATGGCTGTGCTTGTGGCAGTCTCACTGCGCCCGCTACTTCCTAGTCTCCTTTTTGGGACGTCCATTTGTCGGACCTTCCGCTCCACTTTTGGAACTCCGGTTTTTGGACGTCCGACTAACGCTGCTTATGGCTGCTGAACTCACGCTGCTGACCGCCCGCTCACGCTGGTGAACCGCCTGCTCATGCTGAACGACCTGCAGCTCCCAATCCCGCTGTTGGGCCTTCATCTGCGACTCCAGCTGTTGGACTTGCAGCTCCCATTCCCGACGTTGGACGTGCAGTTCCCGCTGTTGGACACGGAGCTCCCGATCCCGCTGTTGGACCTGCAGCTCCAACTCCCGCTTTTGGACCTTCAGCTCCCACTCCCGCTTTTGGACCTTCAGCTCCCACTCGCGCTGTTGGACCTGGAGCTCCCGCTCCGGCGGTTGGACATCCCTCTCCAACTGTTGGTCACAATCCCGCTTCCGCTTCCCCGGTTGGGCGTCCCGCTCACATTTTCGGACCGCCCGCTTCCTCTTCGATATTATCGCCTCTCGCTGTTGGAAACGTGGCTTCCCGTGTTCCACCTGTTGGACCTCCCGCTCTTCGGCGTCACTCCTTCGGTCTCTAGGATCCAAGCATGGCCGCTTTTGGGTTTGGTCGTGTTGAGTACTCCGCTCTTGGGCGTCCATTTCTTGCGTATCCCGGTCTTGGGCGTCCAGCTCTTCAGTATCCCGATCTTGGGCGTCGGGCTCTTTGATGTGATGAACTTTAGCATGATGGGAATCGCAGTATGGCAAGTTTTCAGCTTTTGACACTAGCTCTTGGTCGTCCTGCTTTTGCCAGTTCGGCTCTTGGTCGTTCTGCTCTTTGGCATCCAGCTCTTTGGCATCCAGCTCTTTTGCATCCCGCTCCCCAATGCACGACATCTCTGTACAATGGCTTTTGACGATGACTTTTGACGATGAGTCTCCAAACAGACCTAGTGAATGCCGCAAGCATCAATAGACAATGTTCTTACAATGTGACCCGTTCAACTAATAATGGGCCTAGATTCATGGTGGTGCGATATTGATAGCACAAAGAAAGGTGCAGGTGATAGTGTCATAGCGGAGGAAACATACATTTGTCAGATTTGGATTTGCACCTGTGGTAGAGGAAGAGGGCGGGGGGGGGGGGGAGGGGTATGGCCATCATTGGGATGCGTGTAACTTGAGGTGTAGGCCGCAGTGTCTGTTCTCTGCTGATGATGTTTGTTTTGGCGCGCCGTGATGATGGATAACATGTTAGTATTGTGGTGTAGCTGCTAGCTGGTTTTGACATTTTTGACGTCTCTAAACAAGAGGTCGCACCTGGTGTCAAATCGTGACCATGAAACCAAGTGTTACGTTTCAATAACCTAGACCTGTGACCCCATCACTAGACTTAGGACCATACTACTCCCAACGTACAACTTCCTATCCCACGATCGTCTGTTTGCTCGGCGATAGCATTATCACCTGCACTTCTGTTGGAACTGTACAATGTACATCTCACACTACCATGAATCGTTACTACAGTCAAACCTGACAATAACGGACACTCATGAGACTGAGCGCAAATGTCCTTGATTAACAGGTGTCCTCTATTCTCAGATGTACCACCACTATACAAAATGTACATGCATGTCCATTTGTCTCTTTCCCTCAAACCAGTTAATATTTTATGACTTGGGGCTCCCCGCGTGCTAGTTTGTACATGAAGTGTGTGGGTTACAGTGAGGGCTGCGTCCCACCCGCCTGTGTGGGTTCACAGGAAGTGTGAGTTACGAAGTCTGAAGAAAATGTTGAACGGGCTCTGCTGGGATGACGACTACACCATAGCTCAGTGGTTAGAGCATCGCTGGCTACAAGCGAGGGTCCCTTGTTCGAGTCCTGGTGGTGGCAGTGAATTTGTCTTCAGACTTTTCCCGTTTGTCTCTTTCCCTCAAACCAGTTAGCATGTCATTCTCTTAGTTGAAATGAATGCTACATTTATACACCTACCCTTCTCCAATGTATATTCACGTTGCCACATGGAGTACATGTGTACAAGTACGTGGACAATGTACCATGTATCATTATTACTTCGAAGTACATAATACATTGCGCAGAGTGCAGGTACCCCGGTACCCCAGTCAGCGTGTCCGCCTTAGTGAGACTGAGATCAGTGCAACACAATACAATGGACGTTTTACTATGTTCACATAACCAGCTCGAAAAGAATGAGGAAAGACAATGGTACAGAGACTAGGACAAACGTGACAACTAATGAGCAGGCGCTGCACCGAGACGCAGCAGTGATGGTGGGGCATTGATGACTCTGCCGACCTGAGGTCTCGGCGTCACGGATGTGCGGTAGTGTACATTGTATGAAAATAATCTACTGACCAATGCTATGCATGTGCATATACATGTACTCGGTACGAACCTGGAGCCGAGAGTTAACGTTACAATTCACTGACCGTCTTGTTATCACGTGATCGGCGTATTGCGCTATTGAGCACCGTGACATGTTGTCCTTTATGTTCTTTTTGGAAAATATTTTAAAGAGGGCCTTTTTCATGTACTTCTGCATAACAACTGTACTGTGAAAGTAAATTTTGTAAATTATCGTGACCGTTCCCGAAGGTAACTCACAACGGCCGCTAACACCCGACAAATCCTAGCGGCAGATGCAGCGCCTAACGGTGGGGATTAGTCATTAGGTCTCACAGCCACTGGCACAATTGTCGAGAAACCCCATTAGCCGTTAGGCACCGGCGGATAATGCCGGCATAACTTTTGGCTTAATTTGGTGGTTGAAAATTTGAAGCATAATTTGGCATCCTTTCGGAAGTAGGAGCATAACTACATTTTTTTTACTAAAAACACAGCCCAACTAATAGTCAGGGGAAGAGGACAACTGAAATGACACTGGACAACAAGACAAAGGGAAGTAGGGGTGATGTGCCGATGTGGTTGGCGAGGCTCATCCGACCGGAGGTCTCGGAATCATCTCTCTCTCTCTCTCTCTCGCTCCCAGCTCTCTCTCTCTCTCTCTCTCTCTCTCTCTCGCTCTCTCGCTCTCTCGCTCTCTCGCTCTCTCTCGCTCTCTCGCTCTCTCTCTCTCTCTCTCTCTCTCTCTCTCTCTCTCTCTCTCTCTCTCTCTCTCTCTCTCTCTCTCTCTCTCGCTCTCTCTCGCTCTCTCTCGCTCTCTCTCTCTCTCTCTCTCCTCTCTCTCCTCTCTCTCTCTCTCTCTCTCTCTCTCTCTCTCTCTCTCTCTCTCTCTTTCTTTCTCCTCTTCTTCTTCCCCCATCTCCCGATAATTATTAGCCCCCGTTTTCTTTCGACGCGTTTGCTGTGCAGTGAAGCCGAGACCCTAGGTCGGTGGAGCACATCAGACCCCGTCACCACGTCCACGATTCATGCCTGCGATGCTGCACCGCTGCTTTGCATGTCATGATTGGAAGCTGTGGCCTTAGTAAAAAAAAAAAAAAAAAAAAATCATACCCTACGACCAGGCATCGATAGGAATGCAGCTAGGGAGGGAGGGAGATGAAGTGAGAAAGAGAGAGAGAGAGAGAGCGAGAGAGAGAGAAAGAGAGAGGGGAGAGGGAGAGGGAGAGAGAGAGAGAGGGAGGGAGAGAGAGAGAGAGCATGATTGTGCCACAGCTCTAGTTTGTAGGCTACACTATTGTGTACAATGCACCGGGTCTGTGCTGGTGGTCAGCATGGTAAAGGGTTCAGAGGTCATGCAGATAGTGTTGTCAATGAAAAGCAGGGAAAAAATCATGGCAGTACATTATTGTATGCTCGAGCTGGTCTTCTTCAAAGTCCTTTCTCACACTGACACAGTACATGTAGTAGAATATGTGAGTAAATCAGCCTTTATCAGGTATCCTGGGGTGGACGAGATAGTGATGGGTAGTCCGCAAAACTCCGCGTTCATGTACATTATGCATGATACGAAGTCGTGGTTTTAGCAGCCATGACTGTGCAGGCTATGGATAATGCTCATATATTTATCTAAAAAAATTGACCGGAGGATGTACACAGTGTGCCGACAGTGCTCAACACCGCGGAGGCAGAGCGTAACACAAAACAGCAAGAAGTTTCATGCTCGATCACCCCATCCTCATGTTGTCTGATGATTGCGAGAGCATGAAACTTGAAGTAGCAGTAAACAAGCCTTGATTGTCCTTGTTGTTTTTGTTTTGTAAAAAATATCGAGGTATAGTTGATGTTCGGTCATCATGGAAGGAGAGGTTGAGCTACGGGAGAGATGAGCTGATAAATCGCAGGATGAAGGTGAGATCGATTGGACGAGTGTGACGATTATCAAGACAGTTGGACATGATAATTTTCTAAGGTACCTCAAATGATTTGGCAATGAAAAAGTCTTTTTACAAGTACAAAAGAAGTAAACTGTTCGTATGTGCAGCTCCACTTCCAAGGCATTCCACACCACCATCGGCACGCCCCAGGGGGACAGTCTTAGTCCCGTGCTTTTCGTCTGTTACCTTGAAGCCGCCCTGCAAGAATGTCGCCCAAGACTCCCACAGCGACCTATTACTGATGGAGGCATCCCTCCAGAAACCGGGTACGCTGATGACATAACGTTCTACTCTACCAGTAAACCTTGGCTCGAGGAATCACTACCCATCATATCCTCTACACTGCAGTCTTGGAACCTAAAAGTAAATGAGCAAAAAACGGAATGGGTGCACTTTACGTCAGGCGATTCATCCTGGCGGAGCATCAGGCAGCTTGGCTCTCTTATGGGGGGCGCTGAGGATATCGACAGGCGGATTTCGCTGGCATCCCAGGCAAACGGTAGTATGTTCAGCCTCTGGCTGCGGCGCAAGCATGTGTCAGAAAGGTCCAGGCTCAAGCTGTACAGCTCGCTTGTGCTGCCTGTCCTCCTTTACAACTGTGAGACTTGGGGAGTAACCCAGGCAGTCTTTCAGCGACTGGACTGTTTTCACCGCCGACAGCTCAGAAACCTGGTGGGAGTGCGATATCCAGACAGAATTACGAATGATGATCTGTATTCCAGATGTGACTCGCAGTCACTGTCGGAGCTTGTTGCCAAGCGACGCCGTAGCCTCACTGGCCATGTGCTGAGGATGAGTGAGCAGTCACCCCCTTGCCTTGCGATGTCCTGCTATTTTCAAGCCAGGTCACGTGGACGAAGGGGCCGTCCCGCGGCTACTCTCCCTACCACCATCATGAAGGACCTGGCAGGGCACGACATTCCTTTGAAGAATGCCAGCGACCTAGAAGGAGCACGAGCATTTGCTGCAGACAAGTCGAAATGGAGATCAGACATTGTTTATGGATGAGTTTTTTGTTGACTGGAGACAGAAGCGGACTTGGCTTAATTTCAGTGTATTCTCATGCATTGTTCTTTGGCCTTTGTACGCGTGCTGTGGTATTATTATTATTATTATTAGAGGGGAAGTTAAGGCAAAAATATAAATTTCACCAGTTGTAGTCTTCGGGCTGCTGAGTCGAATGGTCGTGGTCCGAGGAAGCTGAGACGCTCCCTTCCTACTTGAATCCCAATCGAACTCGCGCACTTCCACCGAAACTGGGTGACTGCGCCCTACTAGATGGGGATTTGTATGCAAAATGTCACTAAAAGCGCCATTTCGTTCTTATAAAGGCTCGGATGATCGCGATTGGCCCATATGTTGGAGTCTTTTGGACGCTGAGTCGACTGGTTTTGGTCCGAAAAGGCTGCGATGCAGCGTTCCTCCTTTATTCCCAATCGAACATGGTTGAACAAGCGGTCACGTGCTCCTACGTACACCAGTCAGCTGGTCACCGTGCCTGCAGGGTACAACTTACTAGCCTGTTTGACCTTTTTTGGGTGCAGTCCTGTCACTCGAGTTGAACCTTGGTGTGAAAGTTGTCGCCTGCTGGCGTGGTGACCAGGTGATTTGGGCACCCAGGAGCACGTGACCACTTGTTCAACCATGTTTGATTGGGACTAAAGGAGGAACGCTGCATCGCAGCCTTTTCGGACCAAAACCAGTCGACTCAGCGTCCAAAAGACTACAACATATGGGCCAATCGCGTTCATCCGTGCTTTTATAAGAACGAAATGGCGCTTTTAGTGACATTTTGCATACAAATCCCCATCTAGTAGGGCGCAGTCACCCAGTTTCCGTGGAAGTGCGCGAGTTCGATTGGGATTCAAGTAGGAAGGGAGCGTCTCAGCTTTTTCGGGCCAGGACCATTCGACTCAGCAGCCCGAAGACTACAACTGGTGAAATTTTAATTTTTGCCTTAACTTCCCCTTTAAAGAAGTAAACTAATGAATAGAAGAAGTAATGTTTTCTCTTTTCCATGTTGATCTCTAGCATGGGGTACTCATGTAACCTTTTGGTGTACTTATGGCCACTGGCAAGTACGAAAAAGGCACAATCTTCAGAACTTTGAGGCTCCCGATAAGTACAACAAAGTGAATATGTATCCCAGCATGCCAAAGCAAAATATGAAGACTTGGCGAGCATAATGCGAGAATCCAAGAAAGCACATTTCCATGATTTGGCGAGAATAATCAAATTTGAATTTGGTATTTAGAAACTATTGGGCCACAACTCTGAAAGAAGAAATGGCGATGCTCAATGATTTTTTGCTTTCGACTCGCTGTCACTAGTTGATCATACATGTACATGTAGTTCACCTTGTTGCATGTACATTGTCCTTTCATGTGCCAGGACAGAGAGTTATCGGTATTGTCAGGGCCTCGACTTGTTCCATTCCGATTTTTAGGAACACTCCGATCAGTAGTTCCAACAAACCGACAGAAAACGACTGTTAACAAAAGTGTACTTCTGCAATCTGTTGTTTCGGACCCTTGAAATCCTAAAAATGCTACGGCTTCTAAAGGGGTCGCTGCCCCTTACCCTCCCCCATTTGAGGGGCTCCGCTTCGTCCTGCCTTTGAACACCTCGGACAGTTCTTGTGGTTTATACCAACAGAAAATTGGCAGCACTCTGCTACTATCTTGTTTGTGAAGCTACCACCATCCATTGTCTTGCTTCCTCTATCACCTGGTTCTATTTCTTCACACCAGAAATAGAATGAGAACTTGTATGCAAGGTGCCAAGCTGAGCCAATGTCAGAGACGATCCAGCGCAGATGCAGAAGGATGCTGCGTCATGTGTTGCGCATGCTAGAAGACAACCCCGCAAGCAAAGCCATGTCCTGGTACTTTCCTGCGGACGCCATCGCGCAACGTGGAAGGCCAAAGACAATACTGCCAACAGTATCCATCAAGGACACTGCCCAAGCAGGCGTCATGATGAAATCCGCCAATAGCCTACGTCAGTCCAGATGTCTCGCAATGGATAAGATCAAATGGACTTGACAATTTGAGTAACACCCACCCTATTTTCCGCGGTACTCAATGTGTGACAGAAGCAGAACAGAATACAATTTTCATTGTCTTATTACGCGCGATGCATTATTATTATTTATTATTATTATAAGCAAGAGTTTACCAGCTCCTGGGAGATTATTTACTATAACCAGAAATTGTACTTCTAGTAATGGTAGTTTTGCCTTTTTTTCCCTTTTAATATGTGAAGTTTTGTAAGTTGTAAGGGCAATGAACGACAAAATATCCATTGCATAGGTACAGTCAAACCTCGTTAGGACGAACACTGATAAGGCGAACTTTCCATTAGTACGAACTAAGGCCAATCCTATGGTTGGCCAGGCATCAATTCAAGTCAAAATTATTCGTTTACGACGAACTTCTGTACAGCGAACTTTCGCGAAGACGAACTATTTTCAAGTGTGATTTGAACAAAATCCGTGTGGTCATGTACATGTAGTACAAACTTTCGGTCCACGAGCGTGCGCGTGCGCTGGCTGCCTTTTTTCTTCTTTGTTTTCAATAGTGGAGGTCATATTGTACGTACAGTGCAAATTGTTTTCAAGCGTGTTTCTAACAAAATAATCAGTGCGTTGTACGAACTTTCGACACAGTCGTGATTCATTGCACTTTGTCATTGTACTTACCTGTTTCTGGCTTATGCTAAGAATAACATGCTTCCCATGTACACCAGCATGCACCTTCACGTACATGTAAATACAATCCATATGATATGCATATCGATTTTTTGTCAGATCTGGATAAGAAGAACTCCCGATAAGACAAACAAATGTGTTCAGTCCCTTGAAGTTCGTCCTAACGAGGTTTGACTGTATTTCTTGTACTACATGTATATAATATTCGCGGGATCCGCGTTAGCATCACGTGAATGTTCAGAAACACACAAGGTATAGCCTTCGCTTCCGCAGGCCACCACTATACCTTTTCAACTTAGTGTATGAAGACAGTTAACAAATGACACTGAGAAAGTTAACATATCGGTGTGAATATGTTACATGAAGGTGAATTTGTCTAGGAAAACACAGGACATACATGTAGGTACAAATATGCGTACTAAAGAAGAAAAAGCAGGACACTCCCCCCCCCTCTCGTCCACACACACACACACACACACACACATACACACACATAAACACACCAGTACACATGTTAAACATGACACATTGCCGTACACTCAGTTGCGACAGCTTATTTTGTCGAGTATTAGTTCTTGCCCAGAATAGTGTACGAAAATGGTATAGCACACGAGTGCTTCCAGCATAATACATGTTCGTCTCGGACTTGGCAGAGAATTCCGAACGAGGTTGGCGTGGCAAGACATGACATAGGAAGTACACAGCATACTTATCTAGACAAGAAAAGAAAAAATCAGACGTGCGATGGATATGTGAACAAGCTATGCAACATTGCTGGAAATTCATACATGAGTACACGATAGTATTCTATGTCACGTCACTGACCATCATCCAGCGATGGTTGGTGGACAGGGACATGTACAATGTCATGCTTGAAAATTGGTATTTAGCATTGCTGCCTTTCTGTGTCCTGAATTTCCGGGTCCTTCACTTTGGTGTACGGCCTCTCAGTCCCGCTCCCGCTGTTGGCCATCAGAATCAGAATCAGTATCCCAGAATGGCTGTGCTTGTGGCAGTCTCACTGCGCCCGCTACTTCCTAGTCTCCTTTTGGGGCGTCCATTTGTCGGACCTTCGCTCCACTTTTGAAACTCCGGTTGTTGGACGTCCGACTAACGCTGCTTATGGCTGCTGAACTCACGCTGCTGAACCGCCCGCTCACGCTGGTGAACCGCCCGCTCACGCTGTACGACCTGCCAATCCTGCTGTTGGGCCTTCATCTGCCACTGCCGCTGTTGGGCTTGCAGCTCCCATTCCCGACGCTGGACGTGCAGTTCCCGCTGTTGGAGACGGAGCTCACGATCCCGCTGTTGGACCTGCAGCTCCCACTCCTGCTTTTGGACCTGCAGTTTCCACTCCCGCTTCTTAACCTGCAGCTCCCACTCTCGCTGTTGGACCTGGAGCTCCCGCTCCCCAATGCACGACATCTCTGTACAATGACTTTTGACGATGAGTATCCAAACAGGCCTTGTGAATGCAGCAAGCATCAATAGACAATGTTCTTACAATGCGACCCGTTCAACTAATAATGGGCCTAGATTCATGGTGGTGCGATATTGATAGCGCAAAGAAAAGTGCAGGTGATAGTGTCAACGCGGAGCAAACATACATTTGTCAGATTTGGATTTGCACCTTGGGTAGAGGGCGAGGGGGGGGGGGAGGGGTATTGCCATCATTGGGAGGCGTGTAGCTTGAGGTGTAGGCCGCAGTGTCTGTTCTCTGCTGATGATGTTTGTTTTGGAGCGCCGTGATGATGGATAACATGTTAGCATTGTGGTGTAGCTGCTAGCTGGTTTTGACATTTTTGACGTCTCTAAACAAGAGGTCGCACCTGGTGTCAAATCGTGACCATGAAACCAAGTGTTACGTTTCAATAACCTAGACCTGTGACCCCATCACTAGACTTAGGACCATACTACTCCCAACGTACAACTTCCTATCCCACGATCGTCTGTTTGCTCGGCGATAGCATTATCACCTGCGCTTCTCTTGGAACTTTACATTGTACATCTCACACTACCGTGAATCGTTACTACAGTCAAGCCTGACAATAACGGACACTCGTGAGACTGAGGGCAAATGTCCTTGATTAACAGGTGTCCTCCATTCTCAGATGCACCACCACTATACAAAATGAACATGCATGTCATTCTGCCAGTTGAAATGAATGCTACATTCATACACCTACCCTTCTCGAACGTATATTTGGTACATGTTGATGCACATGATTCCATTCACGTTGCCACATGGAGTACATGTGTACAAGTACGTGGACAATGTACCATGTATCATTATTACATTGTACAGAGTGCAGGTACCCCGGTGCCCCAGCCAGCGTGTCCGCCTTAGTCAGACTAAGGTCAGTGCAACACAGTACAGTGGATGTGCGGTAGTGTACATTGTACGATAATAATCTACTGACCAATGATATGCATGTGCATGTATATGGTATGAACCTGGAGCCGAGAGTTAACGTTACAATTCACTGACTGTCTTGTTATCACGATCGGCGTATTACGCTATTGAGTACTATGACATGTTGTCTTTTAAGTTCTTTTTTGGAAAATATTTTCAAGAGGACATTTTTCATGTACTTGTACATAACAACTGTTCTGTGAAAGTAAATTTTGTAAATTATCGTGACCGTTCCCGAAGGTAACTCACAACGGCCGCTAACACCTGACAAATCCTAGCGGCAGATGCAGCACCTAACGGTGGGGATTTGTGGTTAGGTCTCACAGCCACTGGCAAAATTGTCGAGAAACTCCATTAGCCGTTAGGCACCGGCGGATTATGCCGGCATAACGTTTGGCTTAATTTGGTGGTTGAAAATTTGAAGCATAATTTTGCATCCTTTCGGAAGTAGGAGCATAACTACATTCTTTTTTTTACTAAAACCACAGCCCTACTAATAGTCAGGGGAAGAGGACAACTGAAATGACACTGGACAACAAGACAAAGGGGAGTAGGGGCGATGTGCCGATGTGGTTGGCGAGGCTCATCCGACCGGAGGTCTCGGAATCATACCCTACGACCAGGCATCGATAGGAATGCAGCTAGGGAGGGAGGGAGATCAAGTGAGAAAGAGAGAGAGAGAGAGAGGGGAGAGGGAGAGGGAGAGAGAGAGAGATAGAGAGAGGGACGGAAAGAGAGAGAGAGCATGATTGTGCCACAGCTCTAGTTTGTAGGCTACACTATTGTGTACAATGCACCGGGTCTGTGCTGGTGGTCAGCATGGTAAAGGGTTCAGAGGTCATGCAGATAGTGTTGTCAAGGAAAAGCTGGGAAGAAATCATGGCAGTACATTATTGTATGCTCGAACTGGTCTTCTTCAAAGTCCTTTCTCACACTGATACAGTACATGTAGTAGAAGATGTGAGTGAATCAGCCTTTATCAGGTATTCTGGGGTGGACGAGATAGTGATGGGTAGTCCGCAATACTCCGCGTTCATGTACATTATGCATGATACGAAGTCGTGGTTTTAGCAGCCATGACTGGGCAGGCTATGGATAATGCTCATATTTTATCTAAAAAAATTGACCGAGGATGTACACATTGTGCTGACAGTGCTCAACACCGCGGAGGCAGAGCGTATTACAAAACAGCAAGGACAATCATGGCGTGTTTGCGGTTACTTCAAGTTTCATGCTCGATCACCCCATCCTCATGTTGTCTGGTGATTGCGAGAGCATGAAACTTGAAGTAGCAGTAAACAAGCATTGATTGTCCTTGCTGTTTTTGTTTTGTAAAAAATATCGAGGTATAGTTGATGTTCGGTCATCATGAAAGGAGAGGTTGAGCTACGGGAGAGATGAGCTGATTAATCTCAGGATAAAGGTGACATCGATTGGACGAGTGTGACGATTACGAAGACAGTTGAACATGATAATTTTCTAAGGTAACTCAAACTAATTTGGCAATGAAAGTCTTTTTACAAGTACAAAAGTAGTAAACTAATGAATAGAAGAAGTAATGTTTTCTCTTTTCCATGTTGATCTCTAGCATGCATGGACATCTTGGTATGGGGGTACTCGTGTAACCTTTTGGTGTACTTAAGGCCATTGGCAATTACGAAAAAGGCACAATCTTCAGAACTTTGAGTAGTGTGCACTGGAACTGTCTGCCGCCTGAAGTAAACTGCATCACAATTCCTTAGGCAGTAAAGAAACCAATTGCCCGAATGATATTAAACTCATTTACCCCCTACTAAGATCTCAGCCTCACAGTCCGTCGCATCATGTTCAGGAGATACTATTAGTTTTATACATGAATTATAGGAAACTTCACTTCTCAACTCCAAAACCTGTCTCTTCACAGCGATTCAAATTGAAATTTTCATTACACCAACATTTCGAGCCTGGCCTATCATCAGGGTTATGAACGACAAAATATCCACTGCATACCGGTATTTATTTTATTGAAGCGTTAGCATCACTTGAATGTTCAGAAACGCACAAGGTATAGCCTTCGCTCCCGCAGGCCACCACTATGCCTTTTCACCTTAGTGTATGAAGACAGTTAACTAATGACACTGAGAAAGTTAACATATCGGTGTGAATATGTTACATGAAGGTGAATTTGCCTAGTAAAACACAGGACATAGGTACAAATATGCGTACTAAAGAAGAAAAAACAGGACACTCCCCCCCCCCCCCTCTCGTCCACACACACACACACACATGCACATAAACACACCAGTACACATGTTTAAAGGGGAAGTTTAGACAAAAATTAAAATTTCACCAGTTGTAGTCGTCGGGGTGCTGAGTCGAATGGTCTTGGTCCGAGAAAGCTGAGACGCTCCCTTCCTACTTGAATCCCAATCGAACTCGCGCACTTCCACCGAAACTGGGTGACTGCGCCCTACGAGATGGGGATTTGTATGCAAAATGTCACTAAAAGCGCCATTTCGTTCTTATAAAAGCACGGATGACCGCGATTGGCCCCTATGTTGTAGTCTTTTCGACGCTGAGTCGATTGGTTTTGGTCGGAAAAGGCTGCGATGCAGCGTTCCTCGTTTATTCCCAATCGAACATGGTTATTTGTATTTGTATTTATCATCATTATCTCATGGCACATCATGATGACGGCCAGTAAAACTGAGACAAGGGTGAAAGCCAACCACAGCAGTAAAACAGATGAAAGAATACAAATAAGAGGCAAAGAAGGCAAAGGAGGAGACAAACCAGCAGGATATACATGAAACCTATAATTGAGGAGAGATTTTAGCAACAAAATTATCCATGGACGTGCTGGTCTTGGCCTGCGTTGGTAATGTTGCCCAAAACACATAGCCAGCAAAGATCGGGGATCTAGTGAATAGGGTGGAGGCAGCGTGTGGTTGAACAAGCGGTCACGTGCTCCTGCGTACACCAGTCACCTGGTCACCGTGCCTGCAGGGTACAACTTACTAGCCTGTTTGACCTTTTTTGGGTGCAGTCCTGTCACTCGAGTTGAACTCGAGTTGAACCTTGGTGTGAAAATTGTCGCCTGCTGGCGTGGTGACCAGGTGATTTGGGCACCCAGGAGCACGTGACCGCTTCTTCAACCATGTGCGATTGGGAATAAAGGAGGAACGCTGCATCGCAGCCTTTTCGGACCAAAACCAATCGACTCAGCGTCCAAAAGACTACAACATATGGGCCAATCGCGGTCATCCGTGCTTTTATAGTAACGAAATGGCGCTTTAAGTGACATTTTGCATACAAATCCCCATCTAGTAGGGCGCAGTCACCCAGTTTCGGTGGAAGTGCGCGAGTTCGATTGGGATTCAAGTAGGAAGGGAGCGTCTCAGCTTTCTCGGGCCAAGACCATTCGACTCAGCACCCCGAAGACTACAACTGGTGAAATTTATATTTTTGCCTTAACTTCCCCTTTAAACATGACACATTGCCGTATATTCAGTTTTTATAACTTATTTTGGAGAGTGTTAGTTCTTGTGCGGAAAAGTGTACTAAAAAAGTATGGCACACGAGTGGTTCCAGCATAATACATGTTCGTCTTGCACTTGGCAGAGAATTGAGAACGAAGTTCAGCTGACAAGACATGACACAGGAAGTATACGGCGTACGTATCTAGACAAGAAAAGAAAATGCTAGTAATCACGATGTGCGATGTATACAGTATGTGAACAAGCTATGCAACATTGCTGGAAATTCATACATGAGTACACGATAGTATTCTATGTCACGTCACTGACCATCATCCAGCGATGGTTGGTGGACAGGGACATGTACAATGTCATGCTTGAAAATTGGTACGGTATCTAAGCATTGCCGTCTTTTCTGTGTCCAGCATTTCCGCGTCCTTCACTTTGGTGTACGGCCTCTCACTGTCAGTCCCGCTTCCGCTGTTGGCCATCAGAATCAGAATCAGTATCCCAGAATGGCTGTGCTTTTGGCAGTCTCACTGCGCCCGCTACTTGCTAGTCTCCTTTTGGGACGTCCATTTGTCGGACCTTCCGCTCCACTTTTGGAACTCCGGTTTTTGGACGTCCGACTAACACTGCTTATGGCTGCTGAACTCACGCTGCTGAACCGCCCGCTCACGCTGGTGAACCGCCTGCTCACGCTGTACGACCTGCAGCTCCCAATCCCGCTGTTGGGCCTTCAGCTGCGACTCCCGCTGCTGGACTTGCAGCTCCCATTCCCGACGTTGGACGTGCAGTTCCCGCTCTTGGACACGGAGCTCCCGATCCCGCTGTTGGACCTGTTGCTCCAACTCCCGCTTCTCGAACTGCAGCTCCCACTCTCGCTTTTGGACCTGCAGCTCCCGCTCTCGCTGTTGGACCTGGAGCTCACCCTCCGGGAGTTGGACATCCCTCTCCAACTGTTGTTCACAATTCCGCTTCCGCGGTTGGGCGTCCCGCTCACATTTTTGGGCCGCCCGCTTCCTCTCCAACTGTTGGTCACAATTCCGCTTCCGCAGTTGGGCGTCCCGCTCACATTTATGGGCCGCCCGCTTCCACTTCGATATGTTCGCCTCTTGCTGTTGGAAACGTAGCTTCCCCTGTTCCACCTGTTGGACCTCCCGCTCGCATTGGTTTTTCAATCTCTCCCACCTTTCTTTCAATTTCTCCCACTCTTGAACGTCTCCCTGTTGGTAATCCCGCTTTTCCCGTTCGTCATGCTGGTTCCTCTGTTGGAACAGCTCATACTGTTGGACAAATCCCAGGACTTGCGCAAGATGCTCCCGGTCATCACTCTCTGGAGCGTCACTCTCTTCAGTGTCACTCTCTTGGACGTCACTCTTTTGCGCGTCACTCTTTTGCGCGTCACTTACTTCGACATCACTCTCTTCGGTGTCATTCTCTTCGACGTCACTCTTTTCGGCGTCACTCCCTGCTGCGTCACTCTCTTGGGCATCCCTCTCTGGGACGTCACTCTTTTGGACGCCACTCTTTCGCGCGTCACTCTCTTGTTCCTGCTCGTCATGCTGCTTCATCTGTTGGAGCAGCTCATACACTTTGACAAATCGCAGGACTCGGGCAAGATGCTCCCCGTCATCACTCTCTGGGGCATCACTCTTTTGGGCGTCACTCATCTGCGCGTCACTCCCTTTGGCCTCACTTTCTTCGGCCTCACTCTCTTCGGCCTCACTCCTTCCGTCTCTAGAATCCAAGCATGGCCGCTTTTGGGTTTGGTCGTGTTGAGTACTCCGCTCTTGGGCGTCCATTTCTTGTGTATCCCGCTCTTGGGCGTCCAGCTCTTCAGTATCCCGATCTTGGGCGTCGGGCTCTTTGATGTGATGAACTTTAGCATGATGGGAATCGCAGCATGGCAGGTTTTCAGCTTTTGACACTAGCTCTTGGTCGTCCTGCTTTTGCCAGTTCGGCTCTTGGTCGTTCTGCTCTTTGGCATCCAGCTCTTTGGCATCCAGCTCTTTGGCATCCAGCTCTTTGGCATCCCGCTCCTCAATGCACGACATCTCTGTACAATGACTTTTGACGATGAGTCTCCAAACAGGCCTTGTGAATGCATCAAGCATCAAAAGACAATGTTCTTACAATGTGACCCGTTCAACTAATAATGGGCCTAGATTCATGGTGGTGTGATATTGATAGCACAAAGAAAAGTGCAGGTGATAGTGTCATCGCGGAGCAAACATACATTTGTCAGGTTTGGATTTGCACCTAGGGTAGAGGGCCAGGGGGGGGGGGGGGAGGGGTATGGCCATCATTGGGATGCGTGTAGCTTGAGGTGTAGGCCGCAGTGTCTGTTCTCTGCTGATGATGTTTGTTTTGGTGCGCCGTGATGATGGATAACATGTTAACATTGTGGTGTAACTGCAAGGTGGTTTTGACATTTTTGACGTCTCTAAACAAGACGTCGCACCTGGTGTCAAAACTTGACCAATAAACCAAGTGTTACCTTTCAATAACCTAGACTTGAAACTCCATCACTAGACTTAGGACCATACTACTCCCAACGTACAACTTCCTAACCCACGATCGTCTGTTTGCTCGGCGATAGCATGATCACCTGCACTTCTGTTGGAACTGTACAATGTACATCTCAAACTACCATGAATCGTTACTACAGTCAAGCCTGACAATAACGGACATTCATGAGAATGAGGGCAATATAATGTCCTTGATTAACAGGTGTCCTCCATTCTCAGATGCACCACCACTATACAAAATGTACATGCATGTCCGTTTGTCTCTTTCCCTCAAACCAGTTAATATTTTATGACTTGGGGCTCCCCGCGTGCTAGTTTGTACGTGAAGTGTGTGGGTTACAGTGAGGGCTGCGTCCCACCCGCCTGTGTGGATTCACAGGAAGTGTGAGTTACGAAGTCTGAAGAAAATGTTGAACGGCCTCTGCTGGGATGACGACTACACCATAGCTCAGTGGTTAGAGCATCGCTGGCTACAAGCGAGGGTCCCTGGTTCGAGTCCTGGTGGTGGCAGTGAATATTTTCTTCAGACCTTTCCCGTTTGTCTCTTTCCCTCAAACCAGTTAGCATGTCATTCTCTTAGTTGAAATGAATGCAACATTCATACACCTACCCTTCTCCAATGTATATTCACGTTGCCACATGGAGTACATGTGTACAAGTACGTGGACAATGTACCATGTATCATTATAACCTTGTACAGAGTGCAGGAACACCGGTACCCCACTCCCCAGTCATTGTGTCCGCCTTTGTCAGGCTGAGACCAGTACAACACAGTACAGTGGATGTGCGGGAGTGTCCATTGCACGATAATAATCTACTGACCAATGCTAACATGTATATGATACGAACCTGGAGCCGAGAGTTAACGTTACAACTCACTGACCGTCTTGTTATCACGATCAGCGTATTGCGCTATTGAGTACTATGACATGTTGTCTTTTAAGTTCTTTTTTGGAAAATATTTTCAAGAGGACATTTTTCATGTAGATAACAACTTTTCTGTGAAAGTAAATTTTGTAAATTATCGTGACCGTTCCCGAAGGGAACTCACAACGGCCGCTAACACCCGACAAATCCTAGCGGCAGATGCAGCGCCTAACGGTGGGGATTAGTGGTTAAGTCTCACAGCCACTGGCACAATTGTCGAGAAACTCCATTAGCCGTTAGGCACCGGCGGATTATGCCGGCATAACTTTTGGCTTAATTTGGTGGTTGAAGATTTGAAGCATAATTTGGCATCCTTTCGGAGCTAGGAGCATAACTATTTTTTTACTAAAAACACAGCCCTACTAATAGTCAGGGGAAGAGGACAACTGAAATGACACTGGACAACAGGACAAAGGGGAGTAGGGGCGATGTGCCGATGTGGTTGGCGAGGCTCATCCGACCGGAGGTCTCGGAATCATAGCCTACGACCAGGCATCGATAGGAATGCAGCTAGGGAGGGAGGGAGATCAAGTGAGAAAGAGAGAGAGAGAGAGGGGGGAGAGGGAGAGGGAGAGAGAGAGAGAGAGAGAGAGAGAGAGAGCGAGAGAGAGAGAGGGTGGGAGAGAGAGAGAGAGAGCATGATTGTGTCACAGCTCTAGTTTGTAGGCTACACTATTGTGTACAATGCACCGGGTCTTTGCTAATGGTCAGCATGGTAAAGGGTTCAGAGGTCATGTAGATAGTGTTGTCAATGAAAAGCTGGGAAGAAATCATGGCAGTACATTATTGTATGCTCGAACTGGTCTTCTTCAAAGTCCTTTCTCACACTGATACAGTACATGTAGTAAATGATGTGAGTGAATCAGCCTTTATCAGGTATTCTGGGGTGGACGAGATAGTGATGGGTAGTCCGCAAAACTCCGCGTTCATGTACATTATGCATGATACGAAGTCATGGCTTTAGCAGCCATGACTGTGCAGGCTATGGATAATGCTCTTATATGTATCTAAAAAAATTGACCGGAGGATGTAGCCAGTGTGCTGACAGTGCTCAACACCGCGGAGGCAGAGCGTAATACAAAACAGCAAGGACAATCAAGGCGTGTTTGCGGCTATTTCAAGTTTCATGCTTGATCACCCCATCCTCATGTTGCCTGATGATTGCGAGAGCATGAAACTTGAAGTAGCAGTAAACAAGCATTGATTGTCCTTGCTGTTTTTGTTTTGTAAAAAATATCGAGGTATAGTTGATGTTCGGTCATCATGGAAGAAGAGGTTGAGCTACGGGAGAGATGAGCCGATTAATCGCAGGATGAAAGTGACATCGATTGGACGAGTGTGACGATTACGAAGACAGTTGAACATGATAATTGTCTAAGGTAACTCAAACTAATTTGGCAATAAAAAGTCTTTTTACAAGTACAAAAGTAGTAAAATAATGGATAGAAGAAGTAATGTTTTCTCTTTTCCATGTTGATCAGTCTAGCATGCATGGACATCTTGGTATGGGGGTACGTAGTTTGTCCTCAGTCAGCGATCGCACAAAGTAAAACCTGGCATCCCTGACATTGCAAGCCCTAATGGGCTGCTGGTGTCTGACAGCTTCCAAAAAGCAACCATCCTCAACAAGCAGTTTGCCTCTGTCGCAGTGCCTGATGACCCACGTTTAGTAATACCCCCTCTCCAATATGACACTCGTCTTACTCGCCAATTCACTCGCGTTCATATCACTACAGCAGATGTTCGTAAAGCCATCTCAAACCTGAAATCTGGGAAAGCGCCATGGCTAGACGGTATCACGAACAATATGATAGAAGCTAGCTCCTGCGATTTCTTTTCCACTTAGCCGCCTATTTAACTTCTCCTTTACCACAGGCAAGTTCCCTACTGACTGGAAACTGGCTAAAATTGTGCCTATTTACAAGTGCAAAGGCAGCAAATCTCAAGCTAGTAACTATCGACCAATTTCCCTACTGTCCTGTATTTCAAAACTTTGCGAACGGCTCTTCTTCAATCAATTATACAATCATATTTCTCCTGCTCTGCATCCCGCGCAATCTGGGTTTCGTCGTGGTGACTCGACCGCTCTACAGCTCACCAAGCTGATCCAAAACATTGCCGACCATCGTCATATGGGGCGGAAAGTTGCCATGTGCTTTTTCGACCTCGAGAAAGCTTTCGACACCGTGTGGCACCGTGCATTACTTGCTAAACTCTCCAAAGTTTTCGGTGTGTGTGACTCAGCGCTGGAGTGGATTACAGACTACCTATCCGACAGAACGCAAGTTGTCTTTGTAGGTGGACTTCTCTCAGATGCTTCACCTGTTCTGTCCGGAGTGCCCCAGGGATCCATCCTAGGGCCCCTCCTTTTCCTAGCGTATATAAATGATCTTCCCAGTCATGTTGAAGGTTTGTCCTTATTTGCTGACGATACTGCACTGCTCCGGTTCAATGAGTGTCTAGACAGGCTGCGAGACAGTCTCCAGCGCGGTATCAACGAAGTCCATCAGTGGATGACTACCTGGAGACTAAGACCTAATATCGCCAAGACTGAGATATTATTCCTGCCGAACTCAGAGCCAACCTATGCATTCACTCTTCCCGGATCCCTCACAGACCTCACAGTGGTAAAACAACACAAACATCTTGGTTTGGTCATTGACCCAAACTTATCGTTTAGTAGACATGTCGATTATATCTGTAGCAAAGTCAGTAAAGCTGTTGGCTACCTCGTGTCTCACTGCTCCCACCTACCGCTTGAATTCATTCGCCTTTTTTACCATTGCTATATTCTCCCCATTTTTCTCTATTGCTCAACCGCCTGGTTATCCCTACTAAGTAAATCGTTAATGAGTACCCTGGAAGTCCACAATAAGAGGATACTGAAAGTCCTTTTCCGAAAACCATCATACTTTCCTTCTGCCGAGCTGTACGATAATGTTTAACACCTTCCCTATCTCTAGTCAAGCGGATCGAAAACTGTGTATCGTTGTTCATTCTATTCGTCTTGACAAAGCCCCGCCACACTTGCGTAAATATAACTGGTTTCTTCCCACTCGTCCTACGCGCAATCCCTGCACTTTACCTAAAGCCCGAACCTCAGCTTATACCAGATCTCCGTTTTTCGCTGCCTATTCTCTCTGGCTGGCCCTGCCTCTATCAGTAAAATCGTCTTGTACGCTAAAGGATTTCAAGGCCAACATGAAGCTCGTGTTCTAATAACTGCTAGTTCTTCATCCACATTTGTTTCTCTTCGCCTCCAGTAATGTGTAATATTTATTTATTTTTGCTATGTTTTTGTTTACAGCCATGGCTGGCTACCACCCCCTCCCTCCATATTGGCCTGTATTCTCTGGCCACGGGAAGGTGAAATAAATAAATAAATAAATGTAACCTTTTGGTGTACTTATGGCCACTGGCAAGTACGAAAAAGGCACAATCTTCAGAACTTTGAGTAGTGTGCACTGGAACTGTCTGCCGTCTGATGCACACTGCATGATAATTCCTTCTGCAGTAAAGAAAGCAATTGCCCGAATGATATTAAACTCATTTACCCCTTTACTAAGATCTCAGCCTCACAGTCCGTCGCATCATTTTCAGGAAATACCTTTAGTTTTATACATGAATTATGGGAAACTTCACTTCTCAACTCCCAAACCTGTCTCTTCACAGCGATTCAA